GAGAATATCGAAAAAGAGCTGCTGGAATATATATTGTTGATGGAGGTCATATTTTTCTATTATAAAAGCATTTTTGCGATAAAATACATTGGAGTAACTAATTTTGTAATTATTTAACATTTTTTTGTACTTTCCTATCTGTTTTTGGCTACATTAAAGCATTTATTTGAAAATATACAGTAAGGTTCCATATTACCACCCGATTTTCTCTAAGCCTACTTTCGTACTTTTTGTACAAAAGCCTTCAAAAACCATACTTATAGTTACACTAGCGAAAAATCTAATTAGGAACATTTAAATTACTAGTTTCCAGTACTTTTCGCACAAAAAATGTGGGTGTAGTTATGATACCTTGTTTACAATTCACTAAAATGTAATTGGGGTTCCATAATACCACCTTCTCCTCTATATATTTACTATATTTAATATATATATTTACTATATTTTAAAAAGGTTTGATGTTCGGCACCGAATTGTAAAAATTCGATAACCAAAAACTACAAGATTGTTTCGTTTTTCCCGCTGACAATTACAGGAGAGTGATGATTTAAGAGTTAATATAAGTAATGGTTTATTATTGATTATACACAGAAAATCAGATTTATTAGAATTGAATAATAATGAATTTTCTTCGTAAATAATTGAAGAAATTCTGCCTTAAATATTTGTCCCAAGGTGACATTTTATTGTTTGATAATATACTCAACTTTATTAATGTACATTAAGAAAGTTGAGTACATTATCTCAATATTACCCTTACATTTTAGGATTTTTTAAACAAATGTTTTTAGGTCATTAAACATTGCTTTTTCAGATGTTAGAAAACAATGGCGTGCTGTCCATGGAAGCTGTGGAAGCGCCGCTTCCCTTATATTTTCTAAAATATAAATATATATTGTGCGATTATTTTCATATTTTAACGTACTTTGAATTAATTAAAATTAACATTTTATTATAACCGCGCTATGTATCTTATTACAAATTTCTATACTACATTTGAAAAAATGATAAGATTGCTATAGTATATTCGAATATAAATTCGTGTATGTATATTCCCAATGGAAGCGCTGTATTGTCGAATACCGGACAACTCCACGGCGAAAATATTTGAGTCGTATAAAGTAGCCAGATTATACTCATTTGCGCATGCAAATGAGCGAAACAACCTCGCGGTTTAGCTGGTGGATACTACACACCAAAATATCGTATAACGCTACCAATGATTTTATCCAGGGCGACACAGCTTCCCTATCATCAAATGTCACAGCACGCCACTGGTAAAAAATATATTTATTACAAGGACCACGTGATATTGTCATGAGAAATATTCACTAATCAATTATTTTTCAAAACATTTAGGGCCTATATTAATTAAATTATTATTAATATTTATTAATTATTTTGAAGATTTCTGCTGTGTGAGATTTGGAATGTAGTGAG